ATTACTATTAAATAAATCGAAGATCTCCGGAGGTTAATATATAATTTTTTGCTCTGGAGTCTTTTAACGACGACGGAATTTCTCTGGAGGTTTACGCCCGAAGATTTGCGAAGATCTTCGCCAAAAAAATTTCCTGATGTAATAGTGGTGTTCGTGAAGGTGGTATTCCTTGGATTGTTTAGCTGTCTAATTACAAAGTTCATGGAACTTTGCTTATCAAATAAATTCATTCCTACTAGTCATGACGAATTTTGAATAACATATTATATACCACTCACCCTATAATGCCGTCTCATAAGAAACATAACTGACTCCACTTTCAGAATCAGTAGATATCACTAGGCTCAAAGAAATAAAAACGAAATCGATAGGAAAACTAATAAGGGAATAAAAAATAACATGACTTTTTCACAATATATAGGCTGAGTATCAAGGTTATATGCTGACTAGAAGTATAATCCCAGCTCAAGCCATCACCAATAGTCACGACGAACTCAGAAATACAATGCTATAATGCCATTTGCTTATGGACTCGATAAAGAGTAAAAAGAGATAGTTTCAGGTTTCGCTCCAGAGTGATTTTTTTCAGCACAAGAAAGGAAAGAACAAAAAGGAAAACGAAATATCTCTAGTTCTTTCTCAAAATACAAGCCTCTGGAAAAAAAAGTCAAAGTGCTTGAAACCTTTGCATTGCATAAATAGTAGCTTCCATAGATTTGTATATTAACTTGAGGTAATAGAGTTTCGGGTTAAAGAGATATAATCGAAGAATCAGGTGATAGATTATTCAGCTGATCTTGTAGATTAGGATCCAGTAATCTATAAGCCGCAAAGGTGTTTCTTGGGTTGTTTAGTATTAACAAATTAAATAATAATCATATTTATAGTTATAATAACTGAGACAAGTTGATTGGCCAATTTTGATATTGCACAAAAATATCGATATAATCAGAGAAAATTTTATATCAATACTAATTAACCATTCCAAAGATTATATCGGTATAGCTAATAAAAAGATTTATTAGAGTTTATTGATATAAGCAGTACAATATAATAGGACTGGTTTGGATAAATGAAAATTCATCAGTATAAGCAGTTATCGGTATAAAGAATATTGGTATAAAAAAGTTTGACTGTATTTTCAAAAGTTAATTTTCAAGTAACCAAGATAAAAAAAAAAAAAAAAGAAATAAAATATAATATCCAATCTAAAAATATATATTAATAGAATAAATAATATTAAAGAATTAATATATAAATTTATAAAATATAATAAAAAATAATTAGTGCTAAATTAGAAACTCAATTTGAATTTATAATATATAATCTGTAAAGATAAATTTGCAAACTATAACTTGATTATATAAAAGGAATCTTAATTCCAATTAATAGATGAACAATATATTATTTCTATAAATCACATCTAAAAACTTATTGTTATAAACAGGTGAACTGGATTAAGAAGATTTATATATACAATTCTAATTGTAATAGTTTGTTATGATTTAAAAATAAACAACTCCAACCTGCTTGAGAGTTTTAAATAATAATAATAATAATAATAATAATAATAATAAATTTCAATAAAAAATTTTTTTTCATATATTTAAATAAATAAAATAAATATCTTATCTATTGATTATGTTTTAACTATAAATAAATAACTTGAAAATTTTAATTAATTTATTGCATAATAATTTTTTTTATTAAATAACAATAATAAATTTTATAAATAAAAATGTATATTTTATAATAATAATAAAAATTATTTCAAACAAAAACTTTATATTTTTGTTCTAACCCGTCATATGCAAATGTTCCCAATTGAAATAATATAGTAAATATGCAACAAATGTCAAAAGGAAAAATCCGAAAAATAGCAACATGTCATTTTCTTGACTTAGTAATCCTGAGAATTTGGAGTTGTAATCATTCAATTCTGGGAGATTATCTGTGCACCACTGCTCAATCTGTCAAATTTTAAGATAAATGTTTTAGCAACGATTAGTAAAAAGATAAATGATCATGTATATATACTATACATAAAAAATGATATGAATAGCCTACCCGACCACAGGCCATACTAATTTTCAAGAAATTTGGATCCTTGGGATCATTTTTGGCAATAATTACACGACC